CAATAGCTAGGTTAGATCTGTGGCATGCTAGGCTAGGTCATTTACCTTTTTCATCATTAGAAGTGTTGTTTCCGGAATTATTCAAAGGTGTTTCAAGTCAAAATTTAGTTTGTGAAGTCTATCAGTTATCAAAACAATGTAGAACTGTTTATCCAATTTTTAGTAATGAAATTCAAGATTCTTTTGATTTAGTCCACTCTGATGTTTGGGGCCCTTCACCCATTATTTCTATTGATGGCTTTCGGTACTTTATTAGTTTTATTGATCACTACTCTCGATGCACATGGATCTACTTGTTAAAAGGACGAGATGAAGTGCCACAGGTAACCATGGCGTTTTACAAAATGATTAAAATATAATTTGGCAAGAAAATTAAACAATTCAGGTCTGATAATGTAGCTGAATACTTTGAAAGGTCCCTGAATCTGTTTATGGAAGATGCTGGAATGATCCATCAGTCATCTTGTGCTAGTACCCCCCAACAGAATGGGGTTGTTGAGCGCAAGAATAGACACCTATTGGAAACTGCTCGAGTCTTACTATTTCAGCACAAAGTTCCCAAAAACTATTGGTTTCAAGCAGTCCTTACTACATCATATCTGATAAATCGAATGCCATCCAAGGTATTGGGGATTAAAACTCCTTTCTCTGTCCTTTGCCCTCATCTTCYAGACTTTTCTCTTCCACCRAGAGTCTTYGGTTGTGTATGCTTTATACATGTAAAGGATCCAAAGAAGACCAAACTGGATCCTAGGGCTACGAAAGGAATCTTTTTGGGGTACTCTCCTACACAGAAGGGTTACAAGTGTTAAGATCTAGTCACCAAGAAAAAATATGTCACAAAGGATGTCTTTTTTTAGTCTCAATCCTATTTTCAAAAGTTGGTGGGGAAGTTGATCTATCTGTCCCTCACTCGCCCTGACATTGCTTATGTTGTACATGTTGTCAGTCAGTTCATGCACACTCCTAAAATCCCTCACATGAAAGCTGGGAAAAGGATTCTCAGATATTTAAAGTCTTGCTCGGGGAAAGGGATTCTGTTCAGAAAACACAATAAGATTGAAGTTGAAGCATATACTGATGCAGATTGGGTTGGCTCTGTTGGGGACAGAAAGTCCACTTCCGGGTACTGCACCTTTGTTGGAGGAAATCTAGTTACATGGAGGAGTAAAAAACAAAATGCGGTTGCTAGATCAAGTGCAAAGGCTGAATATCGAGCTATGGCTCATGGTGTTGCTGAACTTCTGTGGCTTAAGATCCTTCTTGGTGAACTTGGAATAAAGATCGAGAAACCTCTCAGGTTGTACTATGACAACAAGGCTGCTATCAACATTGCAAATAACCTAGTGCAACATGATAGAACGAAACATATTGAGATACACCGCCACTTTGTCAGAGAAAGAATAGTTTCAGGAGAACTATGCATTCCTTATACTCCCTCCGAGATGCAGATCGCAGATGGTTTAACTAAAGAGTTTGCTACAGTAAAATTCTTGGACTTACTTGGCAAGCTAAACATGATTGACATCCATGCTTAGCTCGAGGGGAAGTGTTGGTTTGGCTGTCTTAATATGTTTATTTATCTCTGTTGGGTCTTTAGTCTTCTGTTATTGGGCTTAATCTTATTTAGTGTTTTTTTTTTGTCTAGGTGTCCCATCACTAATTAGGGGCATTCTAGTCTATTTGTATAATATTATGTAATACACTTATTAATAATAGAGTAGGGCCAGATGAGAGATTATTGCCGCCATTCTCAACTCTTCTTCTTCTTCTTCTTCTTCTTCTCTTCTCCTTCGACAGCTTCATTCCAGCAAACATTGTGATCATTATGGGCCGAAAGGTTAAGTGTAAGAGGCCATTACAGGGCAGATTACTATATGGGCTTTATCTTACTTAAGTCCATTATCCTTGAATCTTCATAAGATGGTTGAATTCAAGGATCATTTAGGAAGAAATGTTGGGCCCATATTGAGCTCATAGTGATGTGCTCAGGGGTTCACTGCGATTAACAAAAAATTTGGCTAAGCCTTTTCATAAAGGTTAGGCTAAACCCATGTGAACTTATGTGAGGTCATTGTGGGGTTCCACGCCATACAAATCAGGCCTAAGTTGGTCATGCAACATCTTGGGTCGTAAACCTTGGAAGGAAGTGGGCCTAAGGCCCATAATTAATAAGATTAAGTAAACTGTCAAATGACAACTTAAGAGGATAAGGCTTATCTCTTAATAGAGTCCAGATCCAAATTAGATTTGGATAATCTCCTAATTTGATTAGGAGAGTTCTCCATAAGGAGATAAAAGAAGAAGAGGGTAAACCAAACTAAAAGACCACTCTCTCTTGTTCTCTCTTCTTCTCTTTTGTCTTCCAAGAAACCCATCACGACCTAGGCTTTCAAGGACTGATAAACATCAATTTTCTTCTGAGTTTTGCAAGAAAAATTCATAGGAATTTCAAGTTCACCTTCCTTGGTTCAATCCAAGCATTTGGATTGCAATTTTGTTGAAAACTGTTGTTGAATCAACTTCACCTATACACTGAGGCTAGTTTTAGGATTGATTTGGGCGTGAATTTCCACCTATGTGGATTCTTTTAAGACTCCTATACCTAAGTTTCCAACTAGTGCAGTTCGAAATGACATTCCAAAGAATGTTTTAGATGAGGAAATAATATCTACTGCTACGGGAGGGAATCAGAAAATCCTTGTCAAGTGGAAAGGAAAGCCTATGTCTAAGAGTTCATGGATCACTACTTAAGACTTCCATTGTCTCAACCCAGATTTTTATGAAAGGTACCATGCTTTTAACTCATTGGGGTCAAGTTTTTTCAAGCCGGGGAGAGATGATAGGAATCGATCAACACCCTTAAGGACTTATTCTAGAAAGAATAAGGCCTTACAACAGGTCCTGATATGGCACAGTGATGGTACTTGAGATTTGGACTGAATTGAACACCAAGGGTATTTTTGTCTATGTATAGTTTGTTTATGTTTAAAATTTCAGAGTCATTGCATAAGTAGGAATAGAGTTATCAAGTCTTCTTTAAATTGAAATAGGATATGACAGCTTAGTTTGAGTACTACTAGGATTATTGAGTCTAATAGTTTGACTCTTGAGACTATTATGAGTCTAACAGTTTGACTCCTAAGATTATTATGAGTTTAGAGTCTATAAATACGTATGGACGTTTTACACAAAAGGCAATGAAATATAGAGTTTTCTTCAGCTTATGCTAACTATGGTGAGTGATTCTCATTCCCTAGAGTGATTATAGGCACCCTGTGAGTGATTCCAGGTTTTCTCTCTTCTTTCTTTCCCAATTTTCTCTCTTATTCCTTCAAGAAGCCAGTACAGCCATCAACAGCCATAAAATTCTGATCAAAAAGACCATTCATCATTCTCTAAGGACTAGAACTGAGCTGGTCCTACATCATAGAGTTAGAAAATATCGCTGATAACAATAAGGATTCACAGGTTTTTGAAAATATCCGAGGGTGGGCCTTGGCACAAGAGTTGGGTTAATCCATTGCGTGCCCCTTTGTTTCTATTTGAAGATGACAAAGCTCATTTATAGAACTGCTATTTTGAAATGAAACTCTGCAATGCCTCAACAAAACGTACTACTCTAGCTGTCCTTCATTCTGTGCATGAAACCACGCCCTCTACATTCATTTAATTTAAAGAAAATAATCAAATCTCTAGTTCCTTGGTTCAACTTTTTTTCTAATGATTTGCAAGTTGGTTCTATTTATTTTTATTTACTTATTTTATTCTTAATTTCTATTTTCTTTCTTCTCCTTTACTTTTATTAACAGCCCAAAAACAGAGAAAACCCCAAAATGTACAGTGCATTCTTTTATTTTTTTTGGTGGGTAGGGGGCATTCTTTTAGAGCTATTGAGCTTCCCCTTACCTCCCTCTCTTCTTTGTTTCTTGTATGCATCTTCTATACTTCCTTTATCCTTAATATATTTTTGTTACAAGTTATCAACATTGATATTGTCACAAACACTCCCTTTTACTTATTAATGACTACCACTTACTGAAAACATTAGTGGTATTGTACATCACCAAATAAATGATTATTCTCAGGCTATTTTACATGGACCACATGGAACAAGTAATATGTTTAACCTCTACAGGTTCACAGACCAAACCTGAAGAACTAGTAAAATCCATGATCTGTAATATCAAAATAAAAATAAAAAAGAAACATAAGATAACATACCTCAATAGCTAGAGATATTAACCACTGTTTGGGTAGGTATCTGGTCAGATGTTCATCAACAATAGCAAGCCGTGGTGAAAACAATCGAAGCACATTCTCAATTGCCACAGCCCTTGATGGAAATATAACAACATTCTTGAGAACCAAAAAGAATAAATTAGTAAAAAAAATGCATCCCATCTTATGCATTATGAAAAAGATTGAAGCAAATTCAAAAATTCTGTATTGGTCACTACATGATAAAAATCCCTTATTGGGTTTTAACCACACAATGACATTGTCTCTTGACCCAAAAATAAAAAAAGCTTTTCAATTGTAACATATCTATCTGACAAACTTGTTAGCAGTACTGAAACTCAAGTCCAGACAGAATTACAACATAAAATTTTGAATGTATTACTTGAGATCTTGAAACTTGAAAATTTTAGAATTGCATATGAAATTGACTACCATAAAGAATAGCAAGCCTGCAACTTACATCTGAAGGGAAAATCATGAATAGTTTTCTCTCATAGCATGGACAATGCAAAGGCATTCAGCTTGTCATAAAGCCCCTTGTGTTCACAAAATAGTCTATGTGAGAAAGTGTGAGACTTGTAGATTTGTCATTTATCATTTCTGTAGTATTGATCACACTGAAAATTACTTTTTAATTCTTGGAGGAAGAACTCATCTATAAATGGATGACATTGCTGCTGTGTTGATATAAGGAGCACTGGAGCAGTCAAATAATGTCTTCAATCCCTCAAAAGAAGAGTTTGGATGTCTAAAGAATATTTTTTTATCAATGTTTGAAGAATATTTTTTCCTGATTTGTTGTATTAGAAGTTTTATGTTATTTATTTCATTGGGTTAATGGGTTTAAGTTGTTTTCTATTTTATTTGTAGGGCTAATTTTCTTATGACTGGTGAGAGTGAATCCAATAGAGAGTGAAACTTTCTATGCAAGGTTGACTTACATTGGGATCACCATTGAATTTTGTTTCAGTTCTAATGGAAGTAGGAAGTAGTTTCATTTCCTTTGATTTGGTAGAAGAAAATTCATTAAAATTCAAAAGATGTAATTACACAAATCATATATGGCTTTTGGCTCAACAGAGAGAAAAAACGGAATTAAAGGATAGAAGAGCCAACAATAGGATCGTCAGATGGAACAAAGAGTTGAAGAAAAAATAGCAAGACCCTGACAATACCCAGCCCTATACACTACCAATAGAAAACTACAATCAACCTTGAGATAGTATCCACCACCTGCAGCCAATTGTACCATAATAAGGAAAAAGATAAACACATAGCAAAAGAAGAGCACCCTTACCCCTAAGAAGCAAGAAACAACAAATCATATTAACAGACAATTTGACCGCCCCAAATCTCTCAATCAACCATCTAGCTTGGACAAAAACATATCCCCAATCCAAACATAGAACTGAACCCTCAGCCCTCCAAAATCTAGTCGCTCTTGTTGGAGGTAATGAGGAGGTTTAGGTTTGGGGAAAAATGGTGCAAATGGATAATGGGTTGTATTAGATCTTGCTATTACTCTATATTGGTGAATGGAACTAAGGTGGATTTCTTTCCAACTCTTAGAGGAATTAGACAAGGGGACCCCCTCTCCCTCCTCTTTACTCTAGTGGTTGAGGTCTTGAGAAAATTAATCTCTAAGGCAGATTCACAAAGATTAGTTTGGGGGATGGAAATTAGGTCGTTATGGGATACCAATTACTCACTTACAATTCACAGATGATACAATCCTGTTTTGTGAATGTGATAATAGAAGGTGGATTAGGAATCTTAAGTTAGAAGTTCAACTTTTTGAACAGATCTCCAATCTGAAAGTGAATTTTGAGAAGAGTTGCATTGTGTGCATTAACTTGGATGAGAGAGAGTTGACAGAGTATGCAAATATTTTTGGTTGTGAGCTGTCTCAATGGCCAATGAAATACTTGGGCTTGCCTCTAGGGGACAATCCAAGAAAGAGTAGCTTCTGGGATCCCATAGTTGAGAAATTTGCTAAAAACCTCGTCTCTTGGAAGAAAATCTACTTGTCTTTTAGTGGAAGAATCACTTTGATAAGATTCACAGTAGCAAACCTGCAAGTGAATTACATGTTTGTGTTCAAGATGCCAGTGAGTGTGGGGAAAAATTGGAAAGGCTGATGAGGGGTTTCCTATGGGAGCCAATGGAGCAGAAGAGGGACCTTAGAGTAAGTTGGCAAGTGGTTTGTTGGAATAAGGAGTCTGGTGGCCTAGGATTAGGCAATTTACTACAAAGGAATGTGGCTTTACTGGGTAAATGGTTGTGGAGATTACCGATGGATAAAGATAAACTTTGGGTAAAGTGGTGATAAGCATTCATGGGCTTGTGGCCAACGGTTGAGAAGCCGGAGTGCATGCTAGGGCTACCAGTGCCTCCCCTTAGAAGACCATCCATGTTGTTCTTACTTTATTCTTGCCTTTTGTCAAGTATGATCTTTGTTCTAGAACCAACGTGAAATTTTGTAAACAAGTATGGGTGGGTGCTTTGGAATGGTAGAATACTGATGTATTTCATTCTATTGCCAATCGRCATATTTATACAGTAAGCTGCTGCAATAAATAGAAAGAAGAAAAAAATAGAAAGAAAAGAAAATAGAAAGTAGAAAAAAATAGAAAGAAAAGAAAATAGAAAGTATAAGAATAGAAAGAAAGAACTAGAAAGAAAAACTTTCTAAATCAATCCTTCCACAATC